TGCTTCAAGTCATCTTCACTTTGAGCAAGCAAGGTAGTGTCATCTGCGTATTACAGGTTGTTAATGAGTTTTCCTCCAATCCTGATGCCATATTCTTTTTCTTATGGTCCAACTTTTCAGATTATTGGCTCAGCATCCAGATTGAGTAAATATGGTGAAAGGATACAACCCTGATGCACTCCCTTCCTGATTGTAAACCATGCAGTATCCCCTTGTTCTGTTCGAAAGACAGCCTCTTGGTCTCTGTACAGGTTCCTCAAGAGCACAATCAAGTGTTCTGTAATTCCCATTCTTTGCAATGTTATCTAAAATTTGTTATGATCCACAGTCTACTGCTTTTGCACAGTCAATAAAACACAATTAACATCTTTCTGGTATTCTTTGCTTTCAGCCAAGATCCATCTGACATCAGCAATGATAGCCATTTTTTACTAATCAAAGACATAATATAACAATTAGAGCTTTACCAGTCAAGACATTACCATATTGCTTACTAAGGTGATAGAAATTCAGCCTAGCACAACAAAATCTAACGGTTTAGTTAGCCCACTCAATCAGTGGTTTCTTTTCTGTGAAATACTGAAAATAACTCATAGAGATTGCTATACCATCTTTGAGGACATTGAGCATGAGGTTCCCAGATTTGTAAATCACATAAACGATGTCCAATATAGCTTTGCTAATTTGTTTCCTCCTTTTTTTAAGATTAAACCACAGCTTGAAGAACAAACAAATGAGACTTATGAAGAATTTAAAGCTATAGAGTATAAAACTCAAGTGGTTGCCGGAGTAAATTTCTACGTGAAGGTTAGACTTTAATATTCACTTTGGCACTAAAAGATATTTCTGATTTTATGTAATGTGCCCTGTTGCCCCTACCATCTAATGTGTTCCTTCTGGTTGTTTTAAATCAAAATGCCTAGTATAATTCCCTCCCAAGTGTTGCTGTTATTGTTGTTGTTGTTAGTTGCTGTCGAGTAGGCTCCAACTCATGGCAACTTTAAGTAGAACAAAACATTGCCAGGTCCTGGGCCATCTTCATGATCCTTCCAACCTAGTGGCTCATCTTCCAGCACTACGTTGGACAATGCTCCATTGCAATCCATAGGGCTTTCACTGGCTGATTTTTGGAAGTAGATTACAAAGCCTTTTTTCTTAGTCTGTCTTAGTCTGGAAGCTCTGCAGAAGCCTGTCCACCATGAGTGATCCTGCAATTATTTGAAATACCAGTGCCATAGCTCCCAGTATCACAGTAACATTGAATAACTTGTCCAATAAATAAATCTTTTAAAAATGCTTATTTAAAGGGCAAAGTAGTTTAAATTATTTTTCCAGCTAATGACTTGAGTCATTCCTTAAAGCCATTTTATTTAGACATATAGAAACATAAAGCTTTGAGGTAGAGTAAGCTTCAAGACAGGAATGCTGGTGGCACAGTGGTTAAAACATTCAACTTTAATTTTAATAATTTAATAGTTTAATTGGGAGTTCTGGTAGCGTAGTGCTTAAGGCACTTGACTGCTAACCAGAAGGCTAGTGGTTCAAACCCACCAGCCACTCCTCGGAAGGGAGATTGGGCAATCTACTCCCATAGTGATACTGCCTCAGAAACCCAAGGAGAGGTCACTACGAGTCAGGTCCAACTCGACAGCACATAACAACAGTTATTTAATTCGGCTTTAGATTTAATAATTTAATTTTTTTAATTCTGTGCATGGTTAGAACTCACCAGCCGCTTCATAGGAGAAAGATGTGAGTCTGCTTCCATAAAGATTTACAGCCTTGGAAACCCTATAGGGCAGTTCTACTCCATCTTACAGGGTCACTATGATTTGGAACCAACTCAATAGCAGTGGGTTTTTAAAACTCAAGGTATCATCTTGTCCAGCCCCATGCCTTCAAGCAACTGAGATATGATCCTCCCACCTCACATACGAGGCAACTAGGACCACAAACCAAATATGCCCTGAACTGTTTTGAAATCTTTTTCTGTACAATTTTTGGAAATCAAGTTAAATCAATAAAAGAAATCTTTCTAAAGTCAGAAAAAAAAAAAAAAAGGATGGTATAAATATGTAGTCATCTGCTAAATTTGAGAGGCTACCACTTGGGAGGTATGCCCATCTGTTAGTTTGTTGTACTTTTGTATTTCCACTCAAATTGTCCAGTGACATTATTTACATTTATCACAATGTGTCAACAGTCTCTTAATTGTGTTCTGTTTGTTCTCTTTCTAGTACTGCAGTTTCCCTGTCCCTTTATCTTCTCATCTTTGCTTTTGAGTAATTGTTGACTAATTTTGGACTCATAGAGATGATTTTTAAGTAGAGCACTGATCTTACAGGATAATATCCTTCATTTTGTGTACCACTCTGCTATTTCACTAAAAGGTGATCTCAAAGGAGAGGCTCAGTTCTAGATTTAAAAATTATCTCAGGGCAATAATCTCAGGGAGTCCTCTGTTCTTTACTGTTCCGATTTGTCTCGCTTTGGAAAAAAAAAAAAAAGGAATTTGAGTTTTACTCTACATTTTTCTCCCATTCTATCAAGGACCATCTATTGTGACCCCAGTCAGAACAGTCACTGGTAGTAACCAGGCACCATCTAGTTCTGCTCTCAGGGTCATGGTTTGTGTAAACTAGTTTGTTCCCTGAGTTTTTGGTTACTTTCTAACTGTTTTGTCCCTAGTGAGTAAAGACCAGTAGTTGTATCCTAAATGGCCATTTGCAAGCTTTTAAGACCCCCCTCACTTCACTACAATTCAGATCATACTTTTTGTGAACTATGGTGTCAATCAACTGAGTTGTCCCATGAGATTATGGTGCTACACTTTCAATTCCAGAAAATAAACCTTGAAAAGTGTCTAGTTATGTCCAAGAAGTATCTGTGTGTTCAATTAATATATGTTCTGGCACCCACATATTTGTATTTACATGTACCTGTAAATATTTCTATATGTTCTCACCAATGTACTCAACTGTACCCATATACCAGTTTGCCTATCCCATCCATATGTGCTCAAGTGTTCATTTTTACTTTAGTTGTCCTGTGCTCACTAAATCCACATTTGGTGCCACTTTTCCCATCACCTGAAATAACAAGTGTCTATGACCTAAAGCGTACTTTCCCCTTCCCCCCACTCTCCCTGGTAAGCACTGATGAACATTGGTCTTGTCTTCTTATAAAAGAAGGATCATATAACATTTGTCCTTATATCCTTGATGTGTTTCCCTTAGCATTATTTGTCTGTGATCTTTATGGAAGCAGATCACCAGGTCTTTCTCCCACAAAGCTGCTGGGTGGGTTTGAATCACCAAACTTTTGGTTAGAAGTCAACCGTTGTGCCACCAGGCCATGCCTTTAGCCTACCCTTTCACTCATAAAATAAAAGTGATGGGTTTATGGAAGCAAAGGGTCTAAAAATGCTGTTCAAGAAAAGTTCATTGCAGCAAAGTCTTTATAGGCCTATAGATCTTTCTCCTGATGTAGATCCCTGTGAATTCATCTTTTTTTTTTTTTTTTTCAATTTTATCTTTTCAGGTACAAATAGGTGATAATACGTATCTTCACCTGAAAATATTCAGAAGTCTGCCTGGACAAAGTGAGTCTTTGACACTTACTGGTTTCCAGACTGGCAAAAGCAAAGATGATGAACTGACAGGCTTTTAGCAGCATGTTGTAAAACAGTCTGATTCTTTCCACTGGCTACTGATGAATAGTCCCTGCTAATAAATATAACTCTCAAAAACAAGCATTGCTTTTCAAATAAATTGTTTTCTTCAACACTTTTTCTTTCATTATATTAAATAATGACTTTTTCTTTCCCAAAATCAATGTTATTGCTTTAGGGTAGATACTCCATACAAGTGGATATCAGTTAGAAATCTTACAAAAAAATTGCCAGACCCAATGCAACTGACCAATGGATAGATAGAATCAACCCTACACCCACCATAGTCAGACCAGGTGATGGGCTATCAGTTAACCAATCTCCTATTTTCTGTGGCTGCTGAAAACCCAACATTTCTTCTCCATCCTCACAATTTGAAATTAAATCAGATACTATTTTGATTACCTAGTGCTGCTCTGATAGGAATATACCACAAATGGCATGGCTTTAACAAACAGGAGTTTATTCTCTTATAGTTTGGAGGCTTTAAGTCCAAGTTCAAAGTGCCAGGCTCTAGGGGCTGGGGGAAAGAAAGCTCCTCAACCTTGGGCTTCAGCTCTGACTCCTGCTCCCGATCCACTGAAGCTGGAGGCTTTTCATCACTCAGCTGCTGGCTTCTGAGGCTGACAAGGCCAAGGTTGACAAGTAAAAAGGCACAGTCCCAATGTTACCAAACCACACGGCAGGCCACAAATTCAAGTCCATTAAAAGTCCCAAGGTCAGCAGAGCATGGCAGGCTGCTGAACAATGACATGGCTACGTGCAGGGTTCGAGCATGTCATAAACTAGAGACCGTTCCCCAAGGCTTCTCCTTATATACAGGAAGCAGACCACATTCCTAAGGCAGCTACTCAGCTGTTCACAGTAGCTTCCACCATGGAGTTGATTACCAGTCTCATCATGGGGAATACTACATGTAGCTGTCCAGCTACTCAATCAGGCCCAGCCAAGTTGACAAACAAACTTAACTACCACAGGTACTTCTTTTTTTTTTTTTAAACATTCTCCAACTTAAACATTTGAAGGTCAGTTGCCTACAATGATGTCCCTTTGCTAACAAATATTTTAGTGTGCATTTCCTACAAACAGCAGAAGTATTTGATATCTGCCACTATCTACTTAAGTAGATAGTGAACAAGTACCTTAACAACTGGGTATTTTATACTATTGCTCTCTTCTTCTTTGACATCCAATCATTTTTGGGATTTCTAGAGTAATAAAAAAGAAATAGATCTCCAATGGGATAAATTATGCAGAAAGGGTATTTGAAAGTTGGTCGGTCAGTTAGCGATAATCAAAATAAAGAATCAAGCTCCGCCCCCCATTACCAACACCAAAAAGAAGCCTGTCTTCCTTTAGAAAAATCACATTGCAACTAAAGAAAAGTTACATTTCTAAAACATTTCCACCACCAAATTTGAGGTGGAATCTGTAAGCAAGAACTCGTATTCTGTGGTAAAAATTATTTTGCCTGACCACAAAGAGAGAGAGACTAAAAGAATGTACTCTTTCTTCGTAGAGGCAAGGGACTCACCCTAGCTGTTGTCAGACACTCCCAGAATTCTCTGCCACTGAACATGTTTTTAAGTGGCTGGTGTTGGGCGAAGTGAGGATTCAGAGGGTATGATTTTTCCCAGGGTTTGTAGTTAATGCCTGTTCTGTTTTGCCTTGGGAAACAGATTTCGTCACCTACCTGCAGGAGTGAGTTGATCATTTTCTGCCTTGTTTCTCAACTGGGAAAAGGCCAAAGACTCACCCTGGGCCCTAGAGGCTCCTGATGCTTTCCTTGATGGAACCTGGATCCAGACACAGCGGAGAATTTCTCCCAAGAAGCTATCCAGACACATCCATATTTCTCTAAAAGACAATACGAGAAAGTGTCAGAGAAGGGAAAAAGGTTCTATTGTCAATGGATTAAACAGGGTGGTACTGTTTGGCAACTGACTCACTGAGCATGTTCTCAATAAGCTCTTTTGGTTCAAGAGAATTTTAGATATTGTATGTAACTCAGGGATATGCCATAGATTTACCTTAACACAGGGATTGACCTATGGGGAAGAACAGGAAGCTGTAGAGAACTGGGTCTCACAACCAGAACTCGAATCTAAGGCAACCCTAAGAACCTGAGGGACTTGGCTAGTGGATTTTTCCTCTAGGTTTTCATCATTGAGTCTTAGCTGTTCCCCAAGTAGCTGTCTACATCCCTCTCACTGTCCACTTTTCTACCAGCTCCAAGTGGCATCTCACCTCCTATTCTGTATACCTTCTCTTTGCCTAATAGTGTGCATCCTTACAGCTCCTCCTTTCTTGGAACGTTGCACTATCTGTCATGGCTCTTGTTGCACCTCATCACCATTCTTCTTGAAGCTTCACCTCCCATTTCTAACTACTCATCTTCTCACTATTTCTCAGTTCAAAGCCCTGAAGAATTGATTATCCAGATTATCTTTTTGTGCCAGGACATAACATAGTACACTGGCCAATCTTAGATTTGATAGTTCTTGGGTCAGTTTCCCAGGCCTAGTCAATGAACTTAGTATAAAAGGGCTACCTAAGAGTGTTTAGTCTTTTCTAGAAAGGGCCCTGGGCATGTCAGTTCATACACACCAGCTGCTCTGCGGAAAGAAGATGGGGCAATTTACCTCTGTAAAAATTTATAGCCTTGAAACCCAGTGGGGGTTGCTATGAGTCAGAACTGACTCCACGGTACCAAGTTTGGTTTCAGTCATACATATCTTGGCCAGGAAGAATGTTTTATATGTACAGGGTTATCTAGGTTGCTGGTGAAAAGTTGTGATAGAGCCTAACAAGAATACTTTCTTCTTAGAGGGGTAAGCAGGGACTGATTAGAGAGAGAGATTTAGTGTGGGTTGAACAAATGAACAAGTAGAGAACTATGCTTACCTCAATCCTTAGGAACCAAGTAAAGGACAGGTCCTGATTTGGCTGGCTATTAATGTTAGGCCTTTTCCTTTTTATAGGGAAAAGAGATAGATCCCCCCCCCCCCAATTCTTCTATAACCACTCACTTTTTTTTTTTTTTTTTTTTTAATGGGGTATCTGGTCTTCTCCAGCCTTTCCCTACTAGAATCACCCAAGATTCTTCTTCCAGATGGGGTATTCTGGTTACCTAGTGCCACAAATAGGATGGCTTTAGCAAACAGGGGTTTATTCTCTTACAGTTTGGAGGCTTTAAGTCCAAGTTCAAAGTGCCAGGCTCTAGGGGCTGGGTGAAAGCCCCTCAACCTTGGGCTTCAGCTCTGACTCCTGCTCCTGGCCCACTGAAGCTAGAGGTTTTCTTCATTCAGGCAGCTGTTGGCTGCTGAGGCTGACAAGCCCAAGGTTGACAAGTAAAAAGACCGATATTATCAAACCACACGGCAGGCCATGAATTCAAGTCCATTAAAAGTCCCAAGGTTGGCAGAGCATGGCAGGCTGCTGAACGATGACAGCTACATGCAGGACTCAAGTGTGCCATAAGCTAGAGACCATTCCCCAAGCCTTCTCCTTATGTACAGGAAGCAGACCACATCCCTAAGGCAGCTACTCAGCTGTTCACAGTAGCTTCCACCATGGAGTTGATTACCAGTCTCATCATGGGGAATCTAGCTGCCCAGCCACTCAACCAGGCCCAACTAAGTTGACACACAAACTTAACTACCACATGGGGCAATCAAGTAAAGCTATTAGAATGGTGCCTAATTCATAATAAGCACTCAGTAAATGAGCTATTATTATTATTACACTTTTTATTTACTGAACAAATATTTGAACAATGTATGTATCACTTAAGAGTTGCATTCAGTTGCATGTAACAGAATCCCCACTATAGAGGCTTAACCAAATAGCTTAACCACTACTTTTATATCCTGAATGAATGGCTAAAAATTCTTGCCCACATAATAACCTGTCTGGAGATAGGTAGCCCAGGTTTGGAAGGGCAGCTCCACAATGCCATCAGGGATCCTGTCTCCTTCTATCTTTCTGCTTGGCCAACCTTAACATCTGCCTTTATCTTCATGTTTATAGGCAAATACTTAGTCCCTATCCTAGGCACTTCCAGCCACCTTAACCACATCTCAGGTAAAACGGAGGAGGTGGTAGCAACAAGGAGGAAGGGTCATGTGTTTTCAGGAAAGTAAAATTTCTCAGACATGCTCCAGCAGTCTTCTGCTTACATCTGATTGGCCAGAACTATTTGTTACCTGGGGCTACAAGGGAAGCTGGGCACATTGCCACCCTAAACAAAATCCAGATTCTGTGGATTGTTGTTGTTAGGTGCCATTGAGTCAGCTCCAACTCATAGTGACCCCATATACAACAGAACAAAACATTGCCCGATCCTGTGCCATCCCGACAATCCTTGCTGCACTTGAGCCCATTGTTGCAACCACTGTGTCAATCCATCTCGTTGAGGGTCTTCCCCTTTTTCTCTGACCATCTACTTTACCAAGCACGATATCCTTTTCCAGGGAATGGTCCCTTCTGACAACATGATCAAAGTAGGTGAAATGAAGTCTGGCCATTCTCCCTTCCAAGGAGCATTCGGGCTGCACTTCTTCCAGGACAGATTTGTTCATTCTACTGGCAGTCCATGGTACTTTCAGCATTCTTCACCAACAGAGGGGAAATGGATATAGAGGAGGAAACTAGCAGTGCCTCCTAGGCTCATCCACCCCAGGCACTGAGGACCACAGTACCAGCCCCCAAGAACTGGTGGAGGAAGAGGTAAATAAGCGAGTTAACTATGGGATAAATATCATGATAGAGGTATACTATGGTCGAAGGACCTAAAAGGGACACCTAATTGCAAAAGGGTAGCAGTTCAAACCCACACAGAAGCACCTCAGAAGGAAGGCCTGGCAGTCTGTTTTTGAAAGGTCACAGCCTTGAAAATTCTATGGAGTAGTTCTACTCTGCACACATGGGGCTGCCATGAGTTGATGGCAACTAACAATAATCTTATTTGAGAAGTAGGGAAGACTTGCTAGGAAAGTAA